CTTCAGATTTGGAATTGAACCCATTCCTGTGACTTCCAGCCAAACAAAAGACTTGCATATGAGCTGAACATTTACATTAGGTAGATACACTCCTTGGGGAGAAAAATCATGGGAGAACAGAACGGCTGTGTATGCGCAGGGAGACAGTACAGGGGGCAGGAGTGCATGGAGGGAAGGATATAGGGAAGAGATAACTATTAGGAGGAAGTGGGAGGGGAGCTGTTGCATTGGGGTAAATTGTAGTCAATGTCATGAGACAAAGTGCATGTGAGCTGCTGTATGGAAAGTGAATTAGCTCTGTAAACTTTCACCCAAATCACAATAAAAATAAATAAAAATAAGAAAATCTTATCGCCAAAAATAGCTGGCCACATGTGGCTGGTGGCTTGTGGTTTACTAACCACAAGTCTGAATATACCAGAAGACAGCTTGTCATTTAAACTTGTAAAGAGTTCCTGAAGACCTTACAGAGCGCTTTTGTAATACAGGCACACCTTGTTTCATTGCACTTTGCTTTGATTGAGTGTCCCTGGGTTTCGTACAAATGGAAGGGCCGTGGCAGCCCTGAGCCCAGCAAGTGCCATTTTCCCAACAGCACGTGCTCACTTTGTGTCTCTGTGTCACATTTTGGTTATTTTCACAGTATTTTAAAGTTGTTCATAATTCTCTTGCACACTTTAGTAGAGTCCAATATAGTGTAGACATAACTTAAACGTGCACTGGGAAACCAGGCAGTGTGTGTGACTTGCTTCATTGTGATAATCACTTTGTTGCGGTGGTCTGGAATAAAATCTGCAGTATCTCTGACGTATGCCTGTACCTTTCTGCCCACCCCCACCCCCTGGATACTTTTTTTTTTTTGTAAATTGGACATAGGGTATTGAATTTGCTTAAAACAAGGTAAACCTATACCAAATTTCAACTGGAAAGGAGCTTAAGCAGTAATTTTGCTTTGTATCCCCCCAACCTGAATTTACTTTCTTTTTACATGGTCCCATCAGTGTACGTGCACTGAAATGTGAAATATGCCAGATTTCCGAAGAGCACAAAACCCTCTGTGACCTTTTCTCCATCTCCCCCCAACCCCAGTACCTCGCATCCCTGGGGATACAGTCCTTGGTGCAGCAGAGAGCATTTGCTGGGAAGACGGCAAACAAGCTGATGGACGCCCTGAAGGACTCGGACCTCCTGCACTGGAAGCACAGCCTGTCGGAGCTCATCGACATCAGCATCGCCCAGAAGACGGCCATCTGGAGGCTCTACGGCCGCAGGTGGGCCTCCAGGCTGCAGTCAAGGCCATGGGGGCAAGAGGCTTTATGCAGATAAGTGGGACATAGCAGGCTGACTGTATGAACAATCAAACAGGCATGATATTCCCTCCTTTGGTAGAAGTTATTTGTACAGGAGATTAAAGAAAATACGTGATAGTTGAGCAGCTTTTGTATTTTCCATTGTCCCTGTGGAGCCTTTTCCCTTAGCCCTTGCGTTTGCTTGGTGAGATAACAGACGGCTTCTCCAGATTTCAGAACTAGTAAACTGAAGTTTACACAGCTGATCTGCTCAACGTCACAGATGTAGTTAACAGCTGACAGGTGGGACTCTAAAACCCAGTCATCTGCCTCCACGTGCTGTGCCCAGTGCTTCTGGAAGGAGCAGGGCTTCCGGTGAACAAGTGGAGCATCCCCCAGACCCCAAGGCTGTTGTCTGAAGAAAGGCGCTTCCCCTGTTGCCTAGGGTGTCTGCTCTGCAGTAACCCCAGCCCCATGTTTACTTTTCCATCCAGCCTTGTTTGGCTCAGAAATTAACTTCCACCCAGATTTTTATTCTGAAGCCCTATCCTGGTCTCGCCTCCCCCAGCCAGTTTGCAGGCAGGAGTAAGAGGAAGTGCCTGTTTTACCTATTTTTGAACTTCAGAGCTTTTTGGCCCGGTGCTGGGCACCCGGTGCCAGGTCAGAAAACGAGTCATGTGTGAGCACAGCCATGGGG